CGGGTAGTGCAAAACGTACACAAAGATACGGGCCTCCGTCCCGCCATTCGGCCTGTTACTTCGACTAAGCTTGCAGGGTTACGCATTTTTTCACTTATTTTCGTCAAAAAATACCCTCTAGCGCCTTAACGGTTTGAGCTAGAGCAAAACGGACAAAATTTTCGCCCGCAGGGCTCTACTTTGATGAGTTACCCCTTAGGAGACAATAAAAAAATATTTTTAAAAAACGTCTTTTTTGGGACCTTTTGTTTTTGATTTTTTAAAAATCCAATTTTTGAGCTAGAATGCTCATCTTCGAACTCGATCTGTCTTTTTATGATACAAAACGACCCTTAAAATCCCAGGTCGCTCGCGCACTTTGTTTTCGAGTTTTCGTGCGGACAGATACACAGACAGACACACAGACACACAGACAGACAGACAGACAGACAGACAAAGTTTTTTCCGACCAGACGGAGTAATAGGCTTCGCTAATCGCTCAGCCAATTAACAGAAAGGTAAAATTGAATGCAAAACAACATATTTCGAATGCATTTATTGGCATCTCTTCCTCCCTCTACTGCAACAGGAAACTCACCATCTGAACCAAGAACTCAGTCTTATTTTTTTTTGAAGATTCATTCTCCTTCTCTGTCCGTTTGAAGAGGACAGAGTCAACCTCATCAATAAATATAACTGTTGGCTGCATTGCTCTGTTGGAGAAAAACAGGTACTCTAGAGAACTTAATAATTGAGCAAATGGCATTCTGATATGCATATGTGCGATTCAATCTATAAATTGTTTAGGCTTTGAGTAAACTTAAAGCCAAAGCAAAGTAATTTTTAAGGAATCATACTGACTTTGCTGCGCTAAGGAAAGATTGCATTAGAGAAATGCAAAGGAAGGAGGAAAGAAATTAAAAATATATCACAACCAAATTATTCTAAATTTTTCCAAAGGCACTCAAAAGGCACTGCATTTTGTAATAGTGAGCAACACTGTAGGAATACAGATGAAAAAATCTGAACTATGTACTAACACATGCCGACAGTATGTAGCATTAAGTAAACTTCAGAAAATAATTGTAGCGATGGCAGCTTATTAGTACATTACGAAACCAGTATCTGTGGTAAGTCTAATCTACGAAACAGAAGTACGAACCTTGCTACAGCAAAGAGGGCTTGGACAGTCTTTTCACCACCCCCCACCCACTTCGGTGTCTGTTTGCTAGCACTCACATTGAAAAAATTCGACTGGCATTGGGATGCAATGCACCGAGCTAAAATAGTAATTTAGGTGTAAGAGGGGAGGATAATAAGTACAGTGAAAAGAGGGCTAGTACTCTATTTTAAATACCAATTAGTGTTTTGCTAGTTCCTGGAGGGCCATACAGCAGAACCCCTTTGGATTCTGCTCGTAGCCCAGTAAAAATGTCAGGTCGACGAAGAGGGTCTACAACCACCTCCTGGAAAGACCAGAAAAAAATAAGACTAATGTGCTGAGCATAAAGGTATGCTAATACCTCACTATTTTGCCTTCATTGATTTCTTCACCTCTTGGAGGCCGCCGAATAGGGTATTTCACCCAGTTTAAACCGGATCCAAAGAAGAGCAATAATGCTTCCTGAACTGTTTCCTCCCTGAAGCTCATTGGCTGACGCGGACGAAGTTCTCGCACCCGACACTCGGGCAGTCGCAGACCTGGTGGCGGGTTCACGAACTTCGTCCGCGTCAGCCAATGAGCGTCAAGGATGAAATAGTTCAGGAAGCATTACTGTTCTTTGGATCCGGTTTAAAGTGGGTGAAATACCCTATTCACTCCATGGGGAGTCGGGGCAAGAGGCAGCCATCGTATATTTGATCAATAAACCGGTCCAACCCAAGCATTTCGAATTTCAGGTCCTAATTATTTTCAGTAACAGCTTTCTTCACCTAGCATGTAATTACAGAAACTCCTAAATACAACTAGGTTGATGTACGCCAGACCACGTCTCGCGTAAAAGGCTTCACGATATCTCACGAAACACTATTACGCTGCGACGCGCCTGGCATACATCTACCAAGGCCTGCGGCACTAACACCGGAGTCGGGCAAAAGGCACGGTATTAAATAGGCCTCCGGCCCCAAAAGTCACAAATTCTGTGCCTCGGGGTTTTACTTTGACGAGTTACCCCACCGGAGACCATAAAATATCTAAGAAAAAACACTAAAATGTTTCGGGCTGATTTTCGTGTAAAGAACGCCCTCTGGCAGCCAAACGGTTAGAGATAGAGCCAAACGGACAAAATCTTTTGTCATTGGGATCAACTTTGACGAGTACCTTTTAAGAAAGATGTTAAAAAATATACTTTTTTAAAAGAAATGTTTTGGGCTCTTTAGTTCTGTTTTGTTTAACCCGTCAATTTTTTAGCCAGATGGCTCAAAACCAATTTTTCCTTTTTACGATACAAAGATACAATAAGAATTTGAGCCTTCTATATCAAATTTTCAATACATCTTCTATCGGAAAACGGGCCTTCGGCCCGTTGGAGTGACGGCTCGCTTTGAACCATCTTTTTGCCAGGTACATTTGCTGTCTACGTAATCAATACTCAATAAACGAAGCATTCTTTTCATACGCGAAACATCTTTGGCTGTGTGTGCCGTAGTTTGTAGAATACATGCAAGTTTTACCAAATCCCTTTTAAGTTATTGATGTAAGCTTATGAATCCAATAACACACCTATCAAAAGGGACATAAAACTAGACCTTGAAGAAGTTAAATATACTTCCAGGCATACTCTGAATGACTCCAAACGTGTTCAAACAACAAAATAAATCTTTCTTTTTTTTTGTTTTTTGCATGGAAGTGTACACGTTATATTAATGATGTGCCACCATAAAATAAGCCCACTCTTCTGCTTAGAAGAAAATTTTGAACCAACGGCACACTTCTCAGATAGAAATGTACTTCTGAAAAATCAAAATATTTCTATTTTGGCCATTTTGGTAAGAAAATCTAAATCAAGAATCTATCTTGAAAGCAGATGATACAAATTTAAGAATATGTTTGTTTTCAAATTTTCTCCCGGATTTAGCTGTCATTGGTTTCTGATTGCTTGTTATTTGCAATTTCAGCGTACAAGCGCGGCGTTGGAAAGCGCGGGCATAGGGTCCGGCGTCGGATAGTATTGTTGTGCAGGGAGGGGGACGGGGAGCCTGAGCACGTGGCGCTGTGGCGAACATGGCCTCCATTGCCTTCTATCCGGGAGCGATGTAGTGGTCCTTGTCTTGGAGTCCGTTTTCATCTAAAGGTGAAGCGAGGCCGACGAGACGATTCGAAATTGGGTCGTATTCGATCTTCCCGGTGATGCGCGTGCCGTCCTCCGACAACGCAATCACCCGGGGAAGATCATTTTCCCGCAGGTGGTCGCTGAGCTCCTGCCAGCGGAACATTCCCCTCGATGACGGGCTCCATAACGTTGCCTTGGAACTTGAGCAATGTGGCAAGGCTCGGCATGCCCTTTGGTGCATTGGCGTGCAACGTCTCATAGAGGTGCCGTCCACCCTGGATGTAAACCCACGTGAAAAATTCTTTGTCTGCACGGTCAAATCTACAAGGAGAAGTCACATGTTA